TTTCTGTTGCAAACCTGGGTTGCCTTGTGCTCTTTTTTCACAAAAAACTTTAGAAAACCGTAGTAGAAAGCGTAGTAAATTTCTTAAGAACTGCGTACTGCCTTAAGCTTAGTATCCAGCTCTTAAGAAAACGGTCAAGAAAAAATTGCCATTATTTCGCGTGTGTGTCCAAGGAATTTTGACATTTTTTATACCTCACAGCCTGTTGCCTCACTCTTTCCTCAAGAAATAATGGAACGGGCATATATTTCTGTTGCAAACCTGGGTTGCCTTGTGCTCTTTTTTCACAAAAAACTTTAGAAAACCGTAGTAGAAAGCGTACTAAATTTCTGAAGAACTGCGTACTGCCTTAAGGAAATTTGACTTAAGAAAATTTCTTAGCCATTTCTTGTACGTCATTTTATATGGAGTTTTTGCTTTTCTTAAGGGCTGGATACTAAGCTTTAAGGAAATTTGACTCAAGAAAATTTCTTAGCGATTTCTTGTACGTCATTTTATATGGAGTTTTTGCTTTTCTTGAGAGCTGCATACAGGCCTTAAAATCGAAAAGTGCTGATAAAGTTACAGGTTCCCCAAATTCTGAAACAACATGACATATTTATCTGGTTTGGCTTGTAAGCTCTGATTAAACAACGATCTCGCCAGTATGCTAGATTCTAATTGTTTTTTAAAAATACTTGACATCCGCATTCGCATTCGCATCCGCGGATGTTAGCTGCTAGATATTCGCATCCGCGGATGTCTAAAATTCCACATCCGCAACATTCCTAGTATATACGGATCTATAAAGAACATAGAGAACCATGTATGTATGTATATTTGTTTATTTATTTATTAATTTTAGTCTACAGAACTAGTTTCTTACAGACTAGTGAAGACTCTAGTTGAATATTGTAAACAAATTACTCTTAAATCTATCAATACTTAAGTTAAAATCGATAACACTGGAATCAGTGATGCCAACTTTCTAAAATAAAAATCCACTGAATACTGTCAAAAAACGCGTTTTTCTATGAAAAATCCACTAGGAAAAAATTTTATAATACGACAAGGCAAGCAATGTGTTTATTTAAACAAAAAATAGTCTTCAATACAAATTGCCATTAATTATTATTTTCCAGGTATATATGTATGTTTGTTTGATAAGGAACACATTTCAGGTACACAAAACGATAAACAAAAATATATCCAAATAAATGTAAGTTATACATTAATTAAAATGGTAAGAGATCTTCCTCATCGCTGTGATCTTCATCTGGCCATAATTTAGGGCCGTTTGCACCATGTCTAGTTAACGCTAACTGGAGGTACATCCTTCAGTTAAACACGTTAACTGCTTTATCGATCACATGTTATATGAATTGTGTCGATAACGTCGATAAAGATGTTTAACTGGGAGTTAGAATTAACTAGACATGGTGCAAACGGCCCTTAGTGTCTATATAAAATTGTCCTTTTTTATAAACATCAACGCTATTAATTTTAGAACAAACGTCGGCGGGTATTTCATAATCGCCACAGCTTTTGCCTTTTATTCTAAGGCCATATTTAGGGCCGGTTGTTCAATGTCTGATTATCACTACTTGCCGGTTAAACATCATTATCGACGTTTTCGACATCATGCATATAACATGTGATCGATAAAGCAGTCCTTGTATTTAACCGGAGCTTCTACCTCCGATTATTGCTAATCAGACATTGAACAACCGGCCCTTAATGTGTAGTAATGCATTGACAGAGTTTAAAGACAACCTATTTCTAATTTTTGATTTATAGTAGTACATTGAACTAAAAACTCGTTCGACTTCAGCGTTGGAGTAGGGTAACGACAATACCATTATAACAAAATTCGTTAACTCTTCGTAAGGGTTTAACCCCATGTAATCCCTGAACTTGATTACCTCTGGCCAAAAATCAAATGTGGTTTTCATATTTATCCACTTTTGCAAATGTAAGCTTTGCCAGCTTGTCTCAATAGCTGCACGAGTTTCGCTATCATCAATAAACTCTTTAGCAAGTGGTAAAATATTGGGCTTCCCATGGCTGAGTGCAGTCTCTACACTTAGTAATGCAATTTGTTTTAATATTTCAAAATTTGTGGGTAGGCGAGAACGAATTTCCTTTACCAACTGCTTAGTAAACTCAAAACATTTGTTTGATATTAAACCTTTTTCATATTTATCTATTTGCATACCTCGACAAGCTTTTTCGAACATATGCCCTAAATAAAAGCTTTGGGTGTCAGATTCAAAGTCATCTGTAATATAATCAAAATGTTCTGGCGGTAAAAAGATTTTGTTTATTAAAACTTTCAAAAGACGATATAAACGGGATAACAACTTAAAATGATCGGCGTTGTCTGCCTCAAATGCTTTATTAACTTTTTGCACATCAACTCAAATATCTGATAAGTATACTAAATAAACATAGTTTGCATTATTGTTATACATTTCTTGAAGTAAAACTGATATATAGCTTCGTTCATTTTGAGGCAGTACGTCAAAATGCGTTTTCAATTCTAGCCACATTTTTAAGATACACTTCACTGCTCTTTCCATGGAGAGCCAACGAGTTTCTGCCATTAAAGGAATTTTTATTGGATTCGATAAATCCGAATTTATTAACTTAACAATTTTAGCATAGGATCTCTGTCTAACTGCAGAAAACGCAAACCAATTGTGAGTTTCTCTGATTAAAAACTCAATATTTTCAAGGAAATATTTTTTTGCAGAGGAATAAACGGCCAGCTGCAATGAGTGACACACGCATCGAATAAGATATAGACATTTAAGATTATATTTCTCTTTTAGCTTCACATATGCACCATTGTTAATCCCCGTCATAACGGAGGCATTGTCGGTACCCATCCAATTAACTTATGAAATTTTAAATTATATATCTTAAAAATTCGTTCGAGGCCCTCAATTATTCCATCTGCTGTACCAGAAGCTAAATCTATTAAGCCCAAAAAAGTTGTTACAAATTTACAATGATCTTTACTGTAGTACCTTATAACAACGCCAAGTACTTTCATTACTGAAGTGTCAGTACTTTCATCAAGTAGAATACTGAAAAATGAGTCTCCAATATCATCAATCAAGTTTTCACCAAAATGAGGAGCTAAAATATTAGTTATAATGTTTGCACATTTTGTACGATGCATGCTAAAACCGGCGGATTTACTGTCTGCAAATCCAACATTACAAATTTCTCCCAAGTGATTTATATTTGAAAAACTGCTGTGCACTGCAATGAACAACGCAAGTTTACCCTGACATTTTTGCTTCGGATCTGCCATTTTTGGACGGGGTTGAAAATTTATTGTCGGCTGATTTTTATTTCTTTCGGCGCTAAAGGGAGCAATTGCATTTTGATGTTTTTTCGAAAGAGCATGTCTTTGTAAATCTGTAAATCGCGCAGCAATCATGCCGCCGCAAAAACGACATCCAGCTTTAGTGTTGTCTCCATTACACGGCTGAATCCAAAGTTTGAAATTAGAATTTGATTCCCAAGTCTTTCTATATTTCTGTTGGTAACTGCTTTTGTCCATTTCTGCAAAAAAATTGCGATTACCTACAAATATAACAATTGAAAATTTGTAATTTAATTTACTTCACACTCAGCGAGTAGAGAAACAACGAAATATGAAGGAAAAATTAATGCCGCTAAATTTATTTTTCATTTTCTTTTCAACTTAGCTGCGATTAGTAACATAGGTAATGGGTTGCATTTTCTAATATCGTAAATTTATATTTGTAATAGGGCGAATTCATATGAGGTAATTTGTAGGGTTGCAATTGTGATTCTTTAATCGCATTACAACACACAGAGAAGGACTATAAAATATGTAATCGATCAACGTAAAGTAATCGAATAGTGAGTTCGGGCTGCCACATAATTACATTTTGAAATCAGCAAATGTACCTGCGAAGTTAGTGGCGTTTTAAATAAAAAATCCACTAAAAATCCACTGTCTACTGAAACCATTTTTTAAGCGCGCTTAAAACCTGAAAATCCACCGGTTTTAGTGGAAAATCCACTAAGTTGGCACCACTGACTAGAATATGTATTGCACAATTCAATGCATCTAGCAATTGGTTCATTTTTGGCATAACTCGTGGTGTGCTCTGCACCAATAGCCTTTTGTTTCTTAAATTACGAGGGGGATTATATAATACGAGCAAATTTGTTAAATAAGCGCAATTAATGTGCCCATTGATTATTTTATAAATAAATATAATGGAGAAGTAATCTCTTCTTTCCTTCAAGGACTGGAGACCCAGCAATTTCCGTCTGCCAATATAGGGAGGAACATAACCTTGCCGGGGCAACTTGCAAATGTAATACACTTGAATTGATATGAAAAGTAATATATGTATGTATGTATGTGGGTATATGAATAACGACCGCTTAAAATCGATTTCAAGGTTCTACTTTCGCTGTAGAAATTTTAGGTCTACGTTATGTAGTTTGACTATTGTCAATTAAATCGAATGCTTTGTATTGCATGCGCTCCACGTTTTTCATTTTCAATTTCATAGATTGTTTATAATGACTTTTGCTAAAATTTCAAAATCAAAAGTTATCAAAACAAATTCTATGGGACTGAGAAATATTATTTTCTACTTTTTAGTCCATTTATAAAAGCGTTGTATATTAAAAAGTTTTTTTATATTATTTATTGTTCTTTAAATTGGTTAATTACGTAAAATAGAAGTAGAAATTATTCTTACTATATGTATGTAACATGCATGATGCAACAATACAAGGTGTTATCGGTTGGCAACTTCTCGCTCTAATTCCGCCATATTGACTGCCTTAGGTGTAACAGTGTTACTTCTTTAACTATTCTTTGCCCATTAATATAGTTGAGTGTTTTTTTTATATTTTTTTTCAGTATACACACTTTGTTTTCTTAAAAAGGTATTTTATCTTATTTTATTTCATTTCATTACGGATATACTATAAAAAAGCTAATTTTGTTTAGGAGAAAAGGTGAAATTTCCCCCATATAGGGATTCATTTCTTCCCGTTTTTTCTTCTCATTCTATTAACCTAACTGCCCGTCTCCACAGGATAAAGTTTATATCTTGATACATATGTCAGAATATAATTTGCCAATGGAGACCGCTCATTGCTCTTCGAGAGCAATATATATCAGAGCTTATATCTTGCCATCTATTGCCGGCAATTTGGTAGTTTGACATTTACATTATCATTTTCACGAATACTTCGTGGCTGCAACATCATTATTATTTTAATATAAAAGCAAAAATTGAGCCGTTTCCTGTTAAAATATTTGTAATTATGTATTTGGATGTAAAATAGCCTATTTTCTAAATTTTTTAAGCGATTAAATCCGACAAAAATACGTTTTCGAAGCTATCTTACAAATGCTTATATCAAGATATAAAAAGCCCACGCAAATATTGCCACTGATATAACTTATATCTAACGACCAAAATGACAGCGGGGCTGCAATAAATTTTATCCTGTGAGACGGCCAGTAAAGCAGTGTCAAATCGAGCTGTCACAACTGATACCACCTTGTATTATGGCATCATGTGTAATATGTACATATGAATGTATGCATGTATGAATGTAGGTACAGTATGATCGTTAAGTGCTTTGGTTTGAATTTTCTTTTTCGCGGCATTGATTTAATAAAAAAAAGATGAACATTTTTGGTTAAATACAGATATGAAAATTCTTGTTCGAAGATATGTGCCACGGCATGATTTCACTGCAAAACATATGTATGTAGATATGTTATCTAAAATTTTTAAAATTATGAGAAATGTATGCAATTGGCGAACTCGTTGGTTATTTGCCGTCGGCATTTAAAAGCGAAGAAAAAATCTGTTTTTATATTTTTAACGATTCTAATGGTAGTTGATACGCTCTTTTCAATGCAACAAACCGTTTTCTAGCTGCCTTAGTTTTCTCAGAAATCCACTTCAAAGATGGATTGATTACACTGCACGTGTTAACTTCAAAGTTGTTTTTCTCTCGAAAAGTTATTTATTTTAAGAAAATATGTTCCATGATAATTTTTCACTGCTATACTTATTATGTATATGTAAATAGTGGGGCATATTCATAGTTGAAATAAAGTCGACTCTAAAGTTAGTTACAGCTTTTTAACATCACTTTCAGTGGAATAGGCACCTGTGAAAAAAGATGCAACCAACTTTCTTCTTATTTGGGGCTGACAAACTTTAACGTACAGCCCTATTCCGGTTTTGCAACAGAATGACAATTGATCATCCTTCGTTGTCGTGATTTTGTCATTGTCGTTGCACGTTGGCATTCCTAACAAAAAATGACAAGCGAAAAGCTTTTGTCAACTTACCATGCATGGTGAAAAGTTCATTGTTGTAGAAACAGCTGGTCAACGCTATTATTTGCAAAAAATATGAGCGGTGAAACACCAGAAAAGTGAGTATTAGAGCACGAAAAGTGCATGTGGATGTAATTGGAACAAGTAGGGGACCACGGACGGAAATTTATTAAATCGTCGCACTTTTTATATCAACACAAACATATGTTTTTGCCTTGTCACCTGCCCAAAAGGTCATGAAAAATGACAATTGGCATGATTCGAGCTTTTGAATTTTGCTGCGAATACCAAAAAGCTGCAATTGTCTTTTTTATATCAATTGTCATCGCGGTGACTTTTGTCAGTGTGGCGGAATAGGGCTGTTAGAGTCAACTTTATTTGGTCTACGAATATGCCCCAAGTTACAGGAAAAATGATACCGTACTCCAAATTCCTCCAAAATCCTACAAATGAGAGCGATTTTTGTGTTTGTGTTGTTGTTTTTTTTTTTTTTTTGTGTAGAGTAGGGATGCCCAAATCAGCACATATATGTCGCGGGCGACTGCGCGTGCAAAGCTTTGCACAGCGGTGCTGGGCAGGCGCGGAAGCAAAAAGTTATCGGAAGGGGAAAACGAAGTCAACAGAATAGTGAGATTGTATGTGTGACAGTGATGGAAAATGAGTGTGCATTGTGCCATTTTCGGCCCTTTTGGAAGCAGCCGCACTATTTTTGCGTAACTCAATGCAACTAATAAATATTTCTTTCGGATCGGCAAATAAAAATATTTTGTTTTACATTTAATCGTATGTGCTTAAACTGATAAATGATATAAACATAGAAACGCAAGCAGAAGAATCTCACTTCCACATTCTGCATAAGCGCTTAACATTTTTGTTTAAACAAATTTGTCGAAATATTAATATTAATAATTATTAATATTAAATATAATTTAATATATACTTCAGATTTAAATAATCATTTTTAGTGGTGGGCGAGTCCGAGATGTTTAAATGATGGAGATAGTACATTTAATTCGCGTACATTCAATTCGCGTAGATTTTTCCAATTTGTATAAAGGAAATGCAAAAAAATATTAAAAATCAACATGAATTCTTAGCTGCACTTTCACTTTATAATACTAAAATTTGATAGACTATAAAACTGCATCAGTTGGTGTCGAACACTCATGCGGTGAGGATGTGATCGCGCTTTTATTGATCTTTATTTATTTATTTATGTCTAACAACTAACTATAGTTAAAACAGACATTAAGCAGAATTTTAAATATAACTATCTGTCATTATGATAAATTGTCTACTTAAAAATTTAATTTACAAGAATTACTTACATATGAAAGAATTCAAAAACCCAATCTAGAATTTCAAACAGATTAGAAATTACAAAATGTACATGATCTTAATGACTGGACATAAGAAATCTTTCCAATTCTAATGTGGTTGCTCTAGTATTGGTAAAGTCTATGTCTAAAAAATTTGAAAAGTGATTGAAGTCTGATAAGGTTCTGTTTTTTGGCGCGTTTGCACCATAAACCGTTCTACTTAGCCCAACCTTAAAGACGTCAAAACGACGCAATTTACGGCTAGGAACATAAAAATGGATTCTCTCAAGTAGGGCCGGGCACTCAACTTTTCCCGAAATAATACCCAATAAAAATGCGATAGCCTGAGAAGTTCTTCTATTATGCAAAGTTGGAAGGCTAATTAGCCGACAACGGGATACATATGAAGGCAATGGTTCCGCAAACCTTAGTGAACGCAAAGCAAAGCGTAAAAATACCTTTTGCACCTTTTCTAAACGATTTATATGAACAGAAGGATTCGGTCTCCAGATAAAGGCAGCATATTCCAGTTTTGAACGCACAAACGCTGTATAGAGCATTTTAATAGTATAAGGATCGGTGAACTCTGAAGAGTGACGTCTAACAAATGCAAGCATGGCAAATGAGTCAGCAATAGTTTTATTTAAGTGCGAAGTGAACGTGAGTTTTGAGTCGAAATGTACTCCAAGGTCCTTAATCTCACTTAACGAGTCAAGACAAACATTTCGACTTAGTAAATGTCACTTTATGGCATTTCCTTATGTTAAGGAAAAGCCGATTTTCAACACACCATGTATAAAGCCTGTCAAGCTGCGATTGAAGTTCAGCCGAGTCATTTATGCATCTAATTTCAGAATATATTTTCAAGTCATCTGCAAACAGGAGAAAACTAGCATTTGAAAAACAGGAACTGATGTCATTAATAAATAGTACGAAAAATAGTGGGCCCAGGATGCTACCCTGTGGGACACCTGAGAGAGCAGAAAATGGCTTAGACGAAACGCC